AGCAGAAAAGGCGACGGCAGGGACGGGTCCAGAGGGCGGTGGGTGTCTGTGGGCAGCTCCCGCGCCTAGGACAGCTCGTACCGAGACCTGAATCGTTTCCACAGGCGATGAGACATGATGCCGCTCACGATCAGTCCCAACAGCGAGACTGTTGTCCCCATGGCGATGGCAGGGCCCGTGCTGAACGAATCTGCAAAGGCACGAGAGAAGGACGTGTAATTACAGGCAGGCTCTGCCCACACCAGCAAACACCCAGGGGGGAGCACAGCACCCCCCGGCACTGAATGGGACACTAACACAACTCGCTGCATCCCAAGCCCAGGCCATGGGGGGTACAGGAGAGGGGGCTGCAGACCACCACTCACCATCCAAGACCATCAGCTGCAGACTGACCACCTGGGAGCCGTGGCCAAGCAGGGTGCACTGATAGTGGCCCTGGTGCTGGGGTTCGGCGCGGTCCAGGCGCAGAGTGGAGCTGCTTTCCGACACCTCCTCCCGGTACTGCGAGAGGGCTGCGGGGGTCTGCAGCCAGCGGACGGTGGCATTCCCGGCACACCCTGCATGGCACTCGATGCTCAGGGCCCTGCCCCGCGTCAAATGTTTTAGTTTTAGAGACCAAAATGTTACCACTGATAAGTGTGTAAATTTTTCTTGTCACTCTAAGTTTACCCAGAAATTAAAATCAAGTAGCTGAAACACTATCCTTAAGCTTAGTTAATCACTACTAAAATTCAGACTCTGAGAAAAGATTAAAAATCATATAATAACTCCCTTGGAAAAGTGATACCATAACACACTTAAATTTGAGACTACTGGTGGTGATTTTGCTGATGAATGTTATTTACTTGTTTGCTTGCTTTATGGCTGCATTTAATGGTCCAAATGAGCGATCACATCATTGTGTTAATTATTCTTTACCTACAAAGCAAAAAGATGACCCTCATGTCATAATAATCAAATAACAGCAGGCAGGCACCGTCCCCACGGACAGCCCTGTCCCCTTCTCTGCTGGGGAAGAGCCCCAGCTGGTGCTGTCTGCAGCCGTCCCCTGCGCCTCAGCTGGGGGGCTCGTGGTGCCAGAGCCAGGGAACGTGGCGGTGGCTGGCCGTGCCATGGGACTGCCTGTGACAAGGTCACAGGGAGCAGAGCGCTGTGTGGAGGGGGGGTCGTGGGCAGCAGCCGTCTCCAGCATGGTCTCGGTGTCAGGCTCCCACGGTGTGGTGGTCAGGGCTGTGGTGGGATCTGTGTGTGGA